GAAACCCTGTAACCCCACCCCACCAAAAGCTAATTAATTGTACTTGGTATCCTATGTCTCTCCTCTTAGCATTTGGGAGGCAGAGGCAGGTGGATCTCTGAGATCAAGGCCAGCCTGGTCTACAGAGCAAGTTCCAGGACAACCAGGGCTACACAGAGAATCCCTGTCTCGAACACACACCCTCTGCATACAAAAATGGAAAAGAAGAGGAAGGGGAAGAAGAGGAAGAGGAGGAGGAGAAAAAGAAGATGTTCTACAGGCTTGCCTACAGTCCAGTCTTATGGAAGCATTTTCTTATTTTACGTTCTTTCCCCTTAGATGACTCTAACCTGTGTCAAGCTGATATAAAATTAGCCAGTACAGACTTCTTCCAGCAATTGGAGACATGTCCTTGAAGAGAATGCTGAGCTCTAGACTCTTGAGAATTAATAAATCTTTTATCCTTTCTTTCTTTTTTAAATTTCTTTGAGGCAGGCTATTACTCTGTAACACTGGTGGCTGACCTAGAACTAACTCACTGTCTACACGCTGGCTAACCTTGAAGTCACAGCGACACTGCTTCCCAAGTGCGCCACCAACCTGGTGCAAACCTTTCTTTCCTCTCCTTCTTCCTCCTTTGTTGGGAATTGTGTGGCCCAGTTTCAGACCAGTATATGAGTGTTTGTCCAACGGGTCTCCAGATGAGGCAAAGCCCACGGGGACAGTCTCATTTGGCAAGAGCCATCGGACGCCAGGACAGCGCAGAATACTGCAAGGACCACGTGGCCTGCATGCTTTCTTCTCTCTTGTAATATTGATGATTCTCTTGGCAGTTTTAGTATCATCTTGTCTATCATGCAGGAGACAGATGTGATCATTCTTAGAAACCCATTTTTCTTGAATGTTTTCCCCTAAAATTCATTGGGAGCTGATGCTTCTCAGGTTTCTTGCCTGGGGATGCCCGCTGCCACTCCAGATGCCAGGAGCTGTTCTCACTCGCTGCTGACAGGATCAGAGGCAGATCACCCCTATTTCTGTAAAGATGTTTCGAATGGGATTGTTGTTCTTGAGAATGTGTGTCTATGTCAATCACCTTTTAGTTTTGTAAAGACAGTATTACCTGGCTTGATATTTGGCCAAACCAGCAAAATGATTAGTGTTGGTTTTGATTTTGTTTGTTTGTTTGAGACAGGGTTTCCCTGTGTAACAGTCTTAGCTGTCCTGAAACTAGTTTTTGTAGACCTGGCTGGCCTCGAACTCACAGGGATTCACCTGCCTCTGCCTCCGGAGTGCTGGGATTAAAGGTGTGTGCCTCAGTGTTGTTTTTTATTTAAATATGTTTTGATGTAAAAGTTGGGAGAAAACATATCTGGCATATTTGTTTTTGCCAGATGTTAACATTGGAGGATGGGAAAAATTGTTTGTTAGTATGGGAAAATATGCTTGTTTTTGATGTATAAATAAAGATGACTGGAAGATATTCAGGGCTGGCCACTTGTGTGAAACTCATCTGGCGGTTGGACAATTCATTTCTTCGCATAGATAACCTTTCCCCATCTCAGAACTTGAACCCAGGCTGTGGTGAGACCTCAGCATTCCTCCTCTTCTTCCTCCTCCATCTTCTTTTCTTCCTCCTCCTCCTCCTCCTCTCCCTTTCTCTTTCTTTTCTGAGGGTTGAACTTAGGACCTCACACACGATAGGCAAGCATTCCACTACTGAGTCACATCTGCAACCAAAACCTTTCTGCCACATAAATTGCTTATCTTGGGGCTATAAAAATGGCTCAGCTGCTAAGACTTTATACTGCTTTTGCAGATGACCCAAGCTCAGCTCCTGGCACCTAAGTCAGATGGCTTCCAATTGCATGTAACTCCAACTCCAAAGGACCTGATGCCCTTTTCTGGACTCTGAGGGCACCTGAATTCACACATATGTACACACACACACACATGCACACAGTCTCTTTATTTTAAAAAAGCTGATTATCCCAGACATTTGTTCCAGTGATACAAAGCTGATACACAGAGCTAGCATACATATGAACACTATATGACTTAGCATATCTGTAAGCATTACAGCTTGAATGGAAAGGTCTCCTGGCAGCTGGGAGCCAAGGAATACCATAAGGTCACACCGCACAACAATCCTCACACAAGAGATTTATTGGGAGGGAACAAACCAGGCAGGTGGTTGTCTGCTCCAGTGAGAAACTGCAGCAAACTGAACAGGACATGGGGCTTATATAGAGTTTCTGGGGAAAGGGGGTGGAATTTTTCAAGGTGGATATTGGTGGGATTTCATATCCAGAGACTGGACATTTTACTCTGTAGGATGGAGGCAGGATGCAGCAGCTAGGACAGTTACAGTAGTCTGTGGGTGGATCCTGGCAGTTAAAGGTCCTTGAGGGAGGGGCTTACAATGACTACAGTAAAATGTATGAAACAACCACTTTAAAGAGAGTACGGAGAAAACACTTGCTTGCTTAAGTATCTTTGGAAATGGATGGAGCTTATCATCACCTTAAAGCCCAGAGCAGTTGCACGTAGCCCTCTACTCTTCGATACACCTGTTTCCCAGAGGCTGTATGGGTTAGCAATCCTGATGCTGTTTTGTACTAGAATTGAGCAGTTAAACTGATGGACGGCAGACAGCATCTAAAAGTATGTTTATAAGACGAAATATTACTGTCTAAGGAGGAAATTCTGACCCACACTCCAACACAAGCAACCCAGGTAGACAGATACTGTTATATGAAACAAGCCAATGTACTGAGATTAGCCTTCTGAATCCCAGCCAGGGTAACTCCATTTTACTGTAGGCTGCGGTTTATTTGATCTACTTGCCAGACTGCCGTGAAACAAGACATCCTCCCCACAGCCAAACAGTGTCTGCTGAGACCAGCTGAATTCCCGATAAGAGAAAGGGCAGAGTACACATGAGCTGATACTTTAGCCTGTCTGACCCTGCTGCCTGTGTTGTACTAACACTGGACAGTTCTCAAAGCACTTGCACATAGAACATAGAGGCTTAGTAGACGTTGGTGTGTGTGTGTGTGTGTGTGTGTGTGTGTGTGTGTGTGTGTGTGTGATCAGCTCACCACTCTATTCGTAACCCCATTAAATTCATTTTACTCCGTAGGTAAGCTTGTATGAGTCATTCTTGGGGCCGTTGGTGCCATCTCGATTTGAAGGCAGATATTAATTTTACATTTTCCCTGGAGAGTCACCCAGCAGCCCAGCACAAGGGAACGCATGACGCACTGTTTACTTACATGAACAACCTAGAATAGCCTAAGACCAAAGGCAGCAGAAAAGTAGCTGTCAGGAACTGGGGATGGGTGGGCAGGGCTGGGCAAAGAGGAAATGGGAAGTTGTTCTTAGTGGGCGTACACTTCCAGTTTGGCCAGATGAAAAAGTTCAGGGTGGGAGCCTGGAGGCACGGGCCTGTCATCCCAGGACTTGGGGAGCTAAGGTGGGAGGACCAAGGGTACAAGACCCCGATCTGGGGGACGCATAGCTCAGTGGCAGAGCACTTGCCAAGCAAGCATGAAGTCCTGGGTTCAACCTCCAGGGCCTCAAAGAAGGGCATGAGTGTGTGTGTGTGTGCGTGTGTGTACTCAAAGTCAGCCTGGGCTCTGTAGCAAGACCCTGTCTCTAAAACAGCAGCAACAATGACAACATTCTAGAGATTGACTGTACAGCATTGTGAATCTATTTAACACTCCTGTAGATGATACAAAGATCATTTGCTTGAGTTACTATCTCAAGAGCATGAGCATCCCTGACTACTCTCCAGGATGGCTCCAGATTTCCAGGCTTAACAAAGGCCAGATGTTGGCTCCCTCCAGAGGGGATAATTCAAGGGAGATGGGGTCAGCCGCAGAGTCACCCTCTTTGGGGAACAGTCTGGATGTAGATGCTACAGTTCAGGCCTGCGCTCCTCATGCCTTTGGAGATGAGCGCCGGAACTCCCATGTGGGACATCTGCCGTCCTCATATTGAGGTGCAATTTCTGATTAAATTTAAAAGTAGTTAAAAGAAAAAGTATCGACTTTAGGGAGGACAAAACCAAATCCCTTAGATTGTAAAGATGTCTACTCCGTGGACTCTACCACCTCTGCCCTAAGCAGACAAGACTGTCATGCATACAGTCAGTGAAAGAGGCAAATGAACCCCTGGGTCTATCCACAGTAAAACTAGTCAAGAGAACGAAATATAGTCACTGTATGCATACATGAACGACATGACCACTCTCTAGAATGGCTAAGGGGAAGGTTTTTCTTGTAGATATGAGAGAACAGCTAGAGGCATCTGGAGGAGTCTTGAGCAGAGAGAAGAAAGAAGTAGACTGGACATGGCCAGCAGACTGGACACAGCCAGGGCTGTCTGCGAGAGAGGGGAGAATAGCAGGGGATTAGTGAGAATAGCAAGGTTATAATGAGAATGAGTAACTGTGCGCGTTGGGAGAGGCTGTGAACTGAAGGTAGCTTAGGGTAGAGGAGGACATGCTGAGAAGGGCTAGGTGGCTAGCATGGACTTTGAAATGTATGACAGGTATTTGTGACGCCAGCATGAGGTCTAATATACTGATAGCCCCCCCCCCAGGTGGCCATGTGTCCCTTCTGCCAGAGGGAAGGGAAATGACTCATTTTGGCAGATGGGAACCAGTTTCACAAGTTCACAAGGAGTGCTGGCTTCTCTCTAACCACCAGAAATCCTCCCATAGTCCAGGTTGTATATTTGGACTGTCTTTTGAAATTTGGGGAGTTGGAATTCCCTTTGGACCTAACAGCCACCTCATGGTTTGAGGAAGGCTGTAGTGGCATTTCACTTGTATTTTAATAAATAAAGCCTGCCTGAAGGTCTGAGAGTAAAACAATACTACTGGTCAGTCTTACAGACCAGGTAATGGTAACACACACCTTTAATCCCAGTAGCCACAATGACACACCACACACTTTTAATTCCAGTAGCTACACTAGTCGCCATAGAAACTGGGTGGTGCATGCCTTTAATTCCAGCCCTAGAGAGGATTATAAAACGGGAGGATGCAGCTCTCGGACAGTCTCATTCGAGATTCCTGAAGGCAGGTTCGCCATTGTCAGACAAGGTCGAGGTAAGAGGCGGGGTTTTGCTTTTCGGATCTTCAGATTGAAGCAGGTGTGTCTTAGATCTGAGGCAAGGGGTGGGGGAAACTACACAATGACAGACACACGGACAGACACACGGACAGACACGGGCAGGTCCGCGGCTGTCCGATTAGAGCAAGCTGTGGTTAGAACTAGAAAGTGGGTTATCTCCCCCCAAGTTGGGATTTCAGAGAGCAGCTGCTCACTGGCTTTTGGGGTCTCTTTTTTTGGGGCAGGGTTAGGGTTGACAGAATACAGATAATAGATCTTCAGCACCTGGACAGAAGAGTTAAGGGACCAAGGACTCGAGGCTTAGGAAACAAACTTATTCCTATAAAGTTTGGAGGCTTAATAACTAAGTATAACAATGCGGCTCTTAACAATAGTGTGGTGCCTGTCTTGGTTTCCCATGTGGTGGCTCATGCCTTTAATCCTAGTACTCAGGAAAAGAGAGGCAGACCTGTCTTTGTGAGTTCAAGGTCAGCCTGGTCTACCTAGTTTCAGGACAGGCAGAGCTATAGAATGGCAAGGACCCTCCTTACTCTCCTGTTCTGATTCCCATCTCTGGCTGGCTAACACACAAGAATTTTGACATAAGTAACCAGCCTGACTACTGGCAAGGGAACTGTAGTTCCCCCTCCGAGAGGCTTCAAAAGTGAAATGATTGAAACGGCCGAGTGTACCTTCCGCCCGGCTTCCTTGTGACCTGAGCATAGGAGGGAGCCCTTTGACTGCTGATGTATCTCTCTTCCACTGTGCAATCACGAGTCTGCACAGCCAAACCTTTAAAAAGTCTCCTTTTCAAGGTCAGAATTCTGTGGATAAGGAAAAAAGCTCATACTTATAACCAGATTTGGCTGCAGATTAAGCTCTGTCAAAGGTCCCTTGAAAGCAGTGCTCAGATAGAGTGCAACTCTCCTAAGGCCAACAAGGGGCAACTCCTTATTCAGAACTGCTGCTGTGTTTGTGTGCCCCCCACCCTAGGCTGCCTAAGGGGGGCCACAGTCGCACAGTCAGCAGCCAGAGTCGCTGTCCACTTTGCACTTAACATCTAAGTTTGGACACACACACACACACACACACACACACACACACACACTAGCCTCCACCCCCAGGTCAGGAGCAAGCCCAGCAGCTAGGCAGGGCAGGGCCGCCCTGAGTCAGCTGGCGGCGCGCGCACCGCGTGACCCGCGGCCACGTGACCCGCGCGGGCCCAGCCGCCAGTGTTGTAACCTTCGCAGCCGCGGGAAGCGTGCGTGTAAGTGGGAGCGATCCAACCGGAGCCCCCGACCCCCGGACCTGGGTCACTGGCGGGTCGAGGGGCAGCGCGAATGCAGTCTGGGAGGGGGACGGACGGCAAGCCACCTGCCCTCCTGCCGCAGGTTTATCTGTATCCCTTGGTACTTTGTGGGAAACTAAAGACCCTGGAAGCACCCCGCCCCTCCTGGACTCGCCGCCTCCTCCTCTAGTGCCCCTAGGTGACCCCGTGGCACCTCTGGTAGCGAAGGGAGCTCGAGGCAGAGAACCCGGCCTGGGTGAGGATGAGGATGTGGGCAGGAACGGGCCCTGCTGCTAGTGACTCAATGCTGTGTGATTCTAGTGCCCTATCGTGAGATCGAGGAGGCACTGACCCACCCCGTTTTACGCAGGAAGGAACGGGTCCAGAAAATTCTGGGGCGTTGGGTGGTCCTCCCCAGCCAAGGATGACCCCACAGTACCGCCTCCTGGTGGTCAGTGGAGGCACCCGGCCTAGCCTGTTCACCTGTGAGCCGGGAGAAGGAGGCTGTTGCCAGGCTAGACTCTGTCCCCCTCCCCAGCTTTCTTTGCCCCCTGCCCTTCCCTTAATTCAGCGTGTTATCTCCATGCTGCAGGACGAGATGAAGCTCATTATCCTGGACCACTATTCCCAGGCCAGCGAGTGGGCGGCCAAGTACATTAGGAACCGCATCATCCAGTTTAACCCAGGGCCTGACAAGTACTTCACCTTGGGGCTCCCCACCGGTATGCTGTGGGAAAGAGAGGGTGGTGTGTTGAGGGGTCAGGATCATGGGCTCACTTAGCCCAGAGACTTTAAAAGATGGATTAAAATATTGTTGCCCTGATGCCCTCCCCATAGAGAAGAAAGGCACCGGGCTTCCTATGTGGGTTGCTTTAGTGGCTGCCTATTCCTGTAAAATCCTGGAACAGAAGGAGTCTTGGTGAGGCAGTGTTAGTCCTGAGAAAAACCAATTCCACGACTAATTAAAGCAAGCTTTATTAAGAGGTACACTAGGAACTAGCCAGCCGGCTGCTTCTCCCAAAGTTAGGATTTCAGAAGGCAGCATTGGAAGGAAGGAAGACAAGGCTTTGTAGATCTCAAGGGTAGGGGTTCCAGGTTGGGGTGGGGGAGGATATAGGCGGGATGATGGCGACAGAATATAGTAGGTGGTCAAAGCAAGGAAATCACAAATGGTAGTGATAACAAGGTAGTCCTTGGGGGTGTATAACCTTTTGAAACAAAGGTAGGGTCTCGAGATGGTTATAAACAACTTTTGAAACAAAGACACGATTGCCATTCTTGGGACAGGCAGCGCAGAGCCATTTGTAGTTAAGGTTACAGGTGGAGCATAGCCTAATCCTTGAGAGACAGAGGTTTAATCATAAACAGGAATGAAGCTAGTTCGTCTTTACTATAAGATGGCTTTTAAGCCTAGGATAGAGGCAGGCTGGTTCCTTAGCAGGGACATCCTGGTGCCCTGAGATGTTCATTTTATGGGATTAATTTCTGTTCTCTGCATGTAGGGGGTACTAGCTAAGTACTGGTCATGGGAGAATTGAGGAGTTAGTCATTCAAATAATTTTCCATAAAGCTTAATTGGTTATAAAACCCAGTGTCTTCTGAAAAAACAATGTTACCTTTACAGGGAGATACTTTGGTCCAGTGCCTCAAAAGAATATCCTAAATATTTCTTTCCCAAGTGGGGAATATTGGTTTTCGTGGTTTTGTCTGACCCATCCACAAGAAAGAGGCCTTCAGACTTTTGCAGTAAATAACATAGCAGCAAATGTTTCAGGCTTCAATATTATAGCTTCTCTTCTGCCGCTGTAGATAGGAAAACAGCCACAGACAATGTGCACATGAATGGGTAGCTCTGTCAATGAAACTTTATTTGTAGACACTGATGTAATTTTTATACGTCATGAAATAGTCTTTTGACTTTTAAAAAATATATTAAAAGTTTAAGACCATTCTTAGGACTGGGGAGATGGCTCAGCAGTTAAGAGCACCACTGTTCTTGCGGAGGACCTGAGTTCAGTTCCCGGCACCCATACTAGTATGCTCACGACCCACTGTACCTTCAGCTCCAGGAGCTGCAGGGCCTCTTTAGGAGTCTGTGGCTGCCTGCGCTCACATGCATTTTCTCACACATACACGTAATTAATAGGGAATCTTTTTTTGTTTGTTTGTTTGTTTTTTGAGACCTCTCTCCCTAGTGCTGGGATTAAAAGTGTGTGCTACCAAGTAAGTATTGAGTGCTTGCTGTAAGCCAGGCAGTTAAGGTTCTAGGGATAAAGCAACAACACTGAAAGAAAAAAAAGAAGAAGAAGAAGAACATAAATTCCTACTTCTTAAAGCTTAAATTATAGTGGAGAGAGAGAGGGTAAACAAGTTAATTAGCAAAATGTAGAGTATTTTAGGAGGGAACAGAAGGGAAAAGCAGCGCAGGAGAAGGCTGGGGGGCGTGCTCAGTGGGGAGCTGCGTCAGCCATGGGGGCAGAGAGGCCTCTGGGAAAGCCCGAGGAAGTGAATTAGCCATGAAGTTGCTTGAAGGAAGGGCACAGCCTGTGAGAGAGGACTGGGTGCAAAGGCCCTGCGGAGAAGCCCAAGGCCGGCTTGGGCAGCCTCTGTGAGATTAGTTATTATGGGGCAGAAAGGAGACGTTGGTGGGTTTTGGAAAGGAGTGATGATCTTGGCTGGATGAGGTTGAGTTTTTCCCTTTCTATATCTTTTTAGTTTTTGAAATATTTAAAAGAATTGAAATCAGCCGTATGGTACCATTTGCCTAGAATCACCAATTAATACCGTAGCACATTTACTTTTTTCTCTGGTTCTTGTTCTCTGTCTACCCTTGTAATTTGTTGTTGGAGTCACGTGACGGTCAGTTCCAGACATCGTGACCCTTTTACCCTAAATCTTACCTCCCAGGAATGAGGACAGTTGTCGATAGCCCCATCACCACTGCAGACCTAAGGACCAGTCTGCATAGCATTCTGCAGTATCGTCCAATACACAGCCTGTGTTCAGAACCTTTCCCCAGGAGCCTACATTAGTTTTTATTTCCTTCTCCTTGTCTGTAGGCCTGGTTAGGGACCAATCTTGTGTCTTCAGTCCTCCCCTTGGCCACACCCTCATCTTGGAAGGTTAGTTTTTAGTTAATCCAATATCCAATCAGGGTTATTGTATGTTTGTTTTTTTTTAATTTATGATTTATTTGTCTTTATTTTATGTGCATTGGTATAAAGGTGTCAGATCCCCTGGAACTGGATTTTCAGACAGTTGTGAACTGCCATGTGGGTGCTGGGAATTGAACCTGGGTCCTCTGGAAGAGCAGTCAGTGCTCTCAACCACTGAGCCATTTCTCCAGCCCCTGTGTGTTTGTTCTTTTCTCTGCAGTGTAGCTGGGGATGGGGCCCATCACTGTGCCATGCCCTCAGCTCGGCTCCTTTGTCTTTTACCATCTTGTGGTCCTGTCTTTTGTTTGCTTACCTGTTCATGAGACTCAACCCAGGACTTCGCTATTGTTCTGATAAGTCTTCCCTGAACTCTGAAGCACAGGGGGACCCTGTCACAGCTTAAATCTCTGCTGTGTCCCCATTTCTACACAGTGGTCTCTTCTAGGGTAGTTACCTCCGTCTTCCCATAGTTGATGCTCCTAGATCATCACATCAGGAATCAAGTCTGGCAGTCACTCAGATGCCGGCTAGTGACCTCTGTAGCTGGGTGACTGGCCCCGGGAGACCCTCACCGTCCTGACTGCTGGAGCATAACAATCTAATGGGTGTTAGACACCAGCTCACAGTAGATGGATGGTAGGTGGGGCTGGAGCATAGGTTGGACTGCAGAGCTGACGTTCCGAATGCTTCTTGCAGGGAGCACCCCACTTGGCTGCTACCAGAAGCTGATCGAGTACTATAAGAATGGAGACCTTTCCTTTAAATACGTGAAAACCTTCAACATGGATGAGTATGTGGGTGAGTGTCCTTCATGTTCTTCCTGGCTCTAGGGGCATCATGCACCTCTCGTGGACTCATCTTGGAGAGAGAGGAATGTCTTAGTGGTGATTGCCTCCGGCAGTTTGGCTTTACCCGGCTGTACAATGGGACTTCCCTTAGTAGTTAGGTTAACAGAGGCCATGATTGGTGTAGAGACTTATTGTGCACAGCAGACATTTTGGCGAATACTTAGCGCCTATGCAGGTGCCCTCCCCCCTGCTCGGTCCCCGACTCCCTGCCATTTCTCTTTGGAACACCTGCAGATGAGATCCTGGAGTCCAGGTTCTCTGTGTGGCCTGTTTTCTCATGTGTGTCCTTCGGCTCCTTTCTGTCCCCTTGGTGGAGGCTGAGACTTGTGCCCTTGGTCTTCTGTCCTCACCGCCTGCCACTCGTGGGTTTCATTTTAAAGATTAAAAAACAAACAAGCAAACCACCAAACCTGATAAAATAAACATTAACCATCTTCAAAACTGGGGGTTTTGAAGTAGCCCAACTACTGGGGTTAGAGAAAGGGTGGATGAGGCAGGGGGTTGCTTTAGCCCAGAGAACTGAGGGCAGCCCGGGAATCACAGGCATTTCTTGTTGAAAAGCGGAAAGTCAAGGCTGGAGGGGTGGCTCAGTGGTTAGGAACACATACCGGCTTTAGTTCCAACACTAGGAAGGCAGAAGTGTAGGAGCTCAGTGAGTTTAAGGCCAGCCTGTTCTGTATAGCAAGTTCCAGGACAGCCAGGGTGACGCAGAGAGACCCTGTCTCAGTCCCACTCCCTGCTAGAGAAGGAACCTACACTGCTCTTGCAGAGAACCCAAGCTCAGTTCCCAGCACCCACATCAGGTGGCTCACAACCTCCTGTAACTCCAGCTCCACAGGATCTAACACTTTCTTCTGCCTCCGTGGGCACTACACCCGTACCCCCGCCCCAGCCGCCATAGACATCTTTTTCTTGAGCACTTGTTCATGTTGAGTTCAGTGCGTTCATACCACTGTGACCCTCATCAGAACTCTCACCCTGCAGAGCTGAGACTTCCTGTCAAACTGCTCCCCAGTCTTCCTTCTCTCGAGGTGCTGGAAACCACTGTGTTCAGTCTGTTCCCCAGAACCTGACTTCTCCGGGACCCCATGTGAGTCAGGTCACAGACACACTTGGCTGTTTGTGCCTGGCTTCTTCACATAGCATTCGTTCGTTTATGGTATGGACCAGATGTTTTTTGTTTCCCCTTTTGGTTTTTTTGAAATAGGGTCCTGCGGTGTAGCCCAAATTGGCCTGGAACTTGTGATCTTCCCGCTTTTCCTCTCGAGTGCTAGGATTACAGGTGTGGCCTGCTGTGCACAGCAATTTATTTATTTCATCTTAAAGACCAAATGTATTTTGAAAATTACACCTAGGGTGCGTGTATGTGTACGTGTGTGTGTATGTGTGTGTGTGCGTGTGTGTGCGTGTGTGTGTTTGCGTGTGTGTTTGCGTGTATGTGTGTGTGTGTGCGTGTGTGTGTATCAGAGGATTACTTGCTAGAGTCTGCTGTGTCCTCCCACCATGTGACGTGGGTCCTGGAGATCAGGCCTTCAGCTTGGTGGCAAGTACCTTTACCCGCTGAGCCATCTTGTCATCTATACTTTTTGTTTTTGTTTGTTTGTTTGTTTGTTTTGAGACAGGATCTCACTATGTGACCCGGTTTTTCTGGAACCCCTTCTGTAGATCAGGCTGACCTCAAACTCAAAGATGCACCTGCCTCTGCCTCCCCAGCATTGGGATTAAAGGTGTTTGGCACTAACTCTTGGCCAACCCTACTTGTAAATATGTTTTGAGACAAATTTTCCTTTGATTTTGGCATAGCTGAGGATTAAAGGCAACACCTGAGGTATACATGGCAAATGTTCTACCCCCGATGAACATTCTCGGTCTTTGATTTTAAAACGTTTCAAGTGTTTTGCAACAGAGTCTCACTCTACAGCCTTGGCTGGCTTAGAACTTACTGTGTAGATCACACTGGCCTTGAGCTCCTAGAGCTCCTCCCCCTGCCTTTGTCTCCTGAGTGCTGGGATTAAAGGCATGACTTTAAATAATCTTCACATTGAGATTATTTTTAAACATCTTTCAGTTTTGAGAAGCTCTGGTATTCTCTTCAATCACTTAATGTTCAAGTTGAAGTTCAGACATAGTAGGAAATAATAGAAGGCGGGGTGGGATAGAAGGTCCAGGGTAAAGGATGTGGTCGCATCCATTACCCATGACTCGGTCTTACCACCCAGGTGGGCTAGCTCTAGCACAGTGTTCCTAGATGCCAGCTTGTGATCATTCCCTTATGAAAAGGTGATGAGTGTGTGCCCCTCCCCAACGCCAAGGTGGTGCGAAAGCTCAAACTGAGGATCTCACACATGCTGTGCAAATGCTCTACCACTGAGCTACAGTGGGGATCAGAATGAGATTTCCCAGTTCTCAGCCCACCCCCACCCCACCAGTATGCAGTTACAGCCCAGCCCAGCCTATAGTCTCAGGTAATGGCCATGGTTGATGACACGCCAGCTCAGCCTGTCCTACATGCCAGGGTCAGATGGGTAGTCTCCTAAGTGACTCCCAGTGTGATCTCCCAGCATTGTCCTTGGGAGAAGGGCTCGGACTCAACCCCGGTCTGATCGAGGATCCCCCGACCCCACAGGTCTTCCTCGAGAGCACCCGGAGAGCTACCACTCCTTCATGTGGAATAATTTCTTCAAGCACATTGACATCCACCCTGATAACACCCACATCCTGGATGGGAACGCAGCTGACCTGCAGGCCGAGTGTGCTGCTTTTGAGGAGAAGATCCAGGCTGCAGGCGGGATCGAACTCTTTGTTGGAGGTGAGCACGGCTCACAGAGAGGCTCTGTTTTTAGGAAAGAAGAGAAAGGAAAGAACTAGTGGAAGGGAGGGCAGGAGTTTGCGGGTCCTGGGCGCTTACAGAGTCAGCCATCCAGGCTGTTTGGGTTTGCTGGGCCCCGGCTCTGGGCAAGAGGAAGGGAGAAGTAGCACTTCCCCAGTCTGGAGTGGGAGGGAAGCATTTCACACAATTCTGAGCTGAGGGTGGAGGCAAGATCCCAGAGTGTGCGTCTCAAGTAGAGCTGGCGGGAAGGGAGGTCACAGCTTGAGGTAGACCCGACTTGGGGCACAGATGAGAGAAGAAATGTAGCTTTCAAAGATTTCTTTCAGAGAAGGGGAGACTGTTGTTTTTGAAGTTCTCGGTCTCTGGGACTCACGGCTGCTCTACCGTCTCCACAGGCATCGGCCCGGATGGACACATTGCTTTTAACGAGCCAGGCTCCAGTCTAGTGTCCAGGACCCGTGTGAAGACCCTGGCCATGGACACCATCCTGGCCAATGCTCGATTCTTTGATGGTGATCTTGCCAAGGTGCCCACCATGGCCCTAACAGTGGGTGTGGGCACTGTGATGGACGCCCGAGAGGTAAGGGTTCAAGGCCTGTCTGCCAGCCTTGGCTAAGGGTGGGGAGAAGGCTTAACTTATTGTTCATTTCCAGCTATCCAGGCACCAAGTATGCATTTTTATTAACTAATTTTTCATAAATAAAGCTAAAATCCCTCTTGGCCTTGACACCTCTTCTCTTCTGCCTTTGGAGGTGAGGTCATGCCTGGGGTGAGGGCAGTCGCCTGAGCATTTTGTTGATGCCTTAGGGACCAGAGACTTGGCCAGCTGCCTCTGCTTCTGTACCTCTTTTATACAGCTTGTGGGCAGAAGCTTCCAGCACCACTAGCTGAGAGCTGAGACTTTGTACCTGCCTGGGTACTGACCAGACGCTTTTGGTCCCTGTGGTTGGTCACTGTTTGAAAGAACTCTGCTCCCGCAGCCCAAGGATGCTATGTCTGTAGCCCTGTGCTTGAAGGCGATAAATGCCGTTAAATTGATTAGAATGTTTTAGGCTGAATTTAGTGACGTTTTTCTCTTAGAAAATCAGGTATCATTTTAACTTTATTTTTGTGTTCCAGTTTCCTTACTGTGTCTGAATTATACTTTATCGCATTTTTCTTCTTTTTTTTTTTAAAAAAAAGGGTTTATTTATTTATTATGTATACAGTGTTCTGCCTGCATGTATGCCTGCAAGACAAAAGAGGGCACCAGATCTCATTACAAATGGTTGTGAGCCACCACGTGGTTGCCGGGAATTGAACTCAGGATCATTAGAAAAGCAGACAATGTTCTTAACCACTGAGCCATCTCTCCAGCACCCTCATATTTTTCAAAATCATGTTTCTCTTTCTTTTTTTGAGAAAGAGTTTCTTTGTTTAGTTCTGGCTATCCTGGAACTCATTCTGTAGACCAGGCCGGCCTTGATCTTACAGAGATCCACCTGCCTCTGCCTCCTGAGTGCTGGGATTAAAGGTGTGCACCATCACCACCTCAAAATGATATTTCTCATTGTGAGTATGTGCATGTGTCTGTATATGTGCGCATGCAATTGCATGTCACAGCACTCTCATGGAGATCATGGGACAACTTTCTGAGTCAGTTCTCTCCTTCCACCACCTGGGACCCAGGGACAGACAGACCTCAGGTTGTCAGGCGTGGCTGCAGGCACCTTTACTTACTGAGCCGTTCACTGGCTCATGTGTTTGAATTTTAGAAGCACTTCCTTTTTCTTTCCTAGGTACTACACTCAGTGGGAAATAGCTGTAGATCACTTTCCAATTTCTTTGCTCAAGTCGGTGAGAAAGCTTCTTAATCAGTGGAAAAGTAAACTTTGGTGAATTAAGGTACCTGGACTTCCACTGGGTGGCCTGAAGTAATCCCTCAGGGTCTGCTTGCCTCTTGGAAGCACAAGTGTTTGGTGGCTAGGCACACCAGAGTGGGCTTCCGACTTGGAAAATGAACCAAGGGCGGGATGTATATTAGGGCTTTTAGAACCAAGTTGCCTCCTGTGCCTCTGTGTTCAGTTCTTTAAGAGGGGAGCAGTGGCACACCTTAATTCCCAGCACTGGGGAGGCAGGGGCAGACACATCTCTTGAGTTCAAGGCCAGCCTGGTCTACAGAGTGAGTTCTGTGACAGCCAGAGCTGTACATAGTGAGACCCTGTCTTAAATTTTTCACAAAAAGGAAAGGAGCAGTGATCGTGTTGGCCACTCCGTGGTGGGGTGGAGGACTTGAGGTGAAAGGGGTCTGCAGAGCTGAGTTCTTTAGGTTACCTTTCAGCACGTGTGTTCTCGGTATCTTAGCTCTGCAGTGCCACCGCGTCCTTGCTTTCTGTAAACAGAAAACCCCACACCGAGTCACACGAGCACTTTCAGTGGTCTGAACTGGAAAGAACAGATGCAGGCGCAACCTTTGTGAGGGTCGACCTCGGGCCGACAGATAACTCCCACCAGGACTCCCCAAGCGGCACATCCCCATCGCTGGCCTGTTTTCTGGTCCCCAGGTGATGATCCTCATCACAGGTGCGCACAAGGCTTTTGCTCTGTACAAGGCCATTGAGGAGGGCGTGAACCACATGTGGACTGTGTCCGCCTTCCAGCAGCATCCCCGCACCGTGTTTGTGTGTGACGAGGATGCCACCTTGGAGCTGAAAGTGAAGACGGTCAAGTATTTCAAAGGTGAGGCTCTGGCAGTGGAGAAAGCCCTGGGCAGGCTTGAGTAGGAGGGGGAGGAGGGAGGGAGAGAAGAAAGGAAGGAAGGGAGGGAGGGTGGAAGGAGGAAGGGGTGAATCTGGCTTTCATTCTGGGTTTTATTTGCTTTGCTCTATTTATTTGAGTCAGGGTCTCACTGTGTAGCTCTGGCTGACCTAGAACTAGCTTTGTAGACCAGGCTGGTCTTGAACTCCCAGAGATCTGTCTGCCTCTGTCTCCTGAGTGCTAGGATTAAAGGATGCACCACCACACTCAGTGCCTGTTTTCTTTTTTTGTTTTCAGACAGAGTCTCACTTTATAGCCTCCAAGTTGTAATCCTGCCTCAGCCTCCTGAGTGCTGGCATTAGAGGCATTACTACCACATCCAACTTATTCTGGGCATTTTAATCAGCACTTATTTTTTTTAATGTGTGTTGTGGGGGTATGCATGAATTCTGGGGATCAAACTTAGATGGTGAGGCTTGTGCAACAAACACCTTTACCCACTGAACTATCT